CCCCCACCACCTCTTCTCTTCCTCTCATCACCTATCACCGTGGCAACTATTATGTCCACTTTATATACTTTACATGGATACAGTATATCAATACTTCTTCGAGATGATACCGTGATACGCTATACTTCCTGGAGAGGTGTCAGGGATCCTGGAGGGACCTTCCTGCGGGCACAATATCAGACCTGCGTGTTACTCCTACACGCCCGTTCGTCTCCATGGCTACCGGCTGATCCCATCTCTCTCGCTCTCCCGGTAAACCCCCTTGTACTCTGTCTCGCTCCCTCTTACGTTCCCTCTCCGACACACTCTCTCTCTCTCTTTCTCGACCCGGGATGCTGCGGGGTTTCATCCGTCTATCCACCCGCAGCGTCGGGGCGGCTCCCGTAAAGCGTAGTCGACTGATCCCGGTTGACCCAGGTCGCGAAATCATTTAATGAAATCGTACGTGCGTTTGGGTCTGAATGACCTTTGAACTCCTTGTGAATTGAACTGCGAAGGCTGTTGTGCGAGAATTTCGTGAATAAATGTTGATTACGGGCGTCTGACCAGTGAGGCGGCTCGTGACGGTTACTACTGGATGACTGGTGCGATTTTGTGTTTTGTTTGTTGAGAGAGCGTTGTAGATACTTTTTGTTTTTTATCTCGAGAGATAACGGTGATTTAGGGCATTAGGATTATTTGGAAAAACTACGAGTGCTGTAATAATGCCGTTGTTATAGTCGATAGAGATACATGCTCGAGAGACGAGATGAGCCTGTGGGTGGATGTTCTTGATAGGTGATCAGGAGATGAAATCTTATATGTCGACGTGTGCTACACGCACGGATCCGTGACACGTGCTATCTCGTATCTACTTATGGAATTACCTGCGATTAAGATACGAGGAGATCAAGGGAAACGCGCTGCGGTTTAACGACTGAGAAATACGACCGCATTCCTCATTGCGTCTCCGCATGACGCGACGTCGTTCTTACCTACTTACGTCGTAGGGTCGGAATTCAAAGAGAAATTTAGTATTGGGATTGTGTACGCGTATAGCCAATTTTTATGCAAACGTTTTCTTTTGCTCTCTCTATTTCTTTTTTTTTTTCGTATCCGTATACATTGTACGTACGTACTATGTATATCTTGAATTCTTTATTCGCGTCGCGTGCATTGTAAACGACGAAAATTCAACGATATCCCACGGAATAAATGTATTCCGCACAGGAATTTCCGTAGCGGATCGAGTGCGGCGATTGCGGTCGCACGAAAGTCACGACGCCTGCCTCGTGCTTTATTTTGTCGCGGTCGCCAACCGTGCGACAGGAACAACCGGTCCGTTTGGACGTTTCGACAAGTGAGGACTCACATGGGAGAGAGAGAGAGAGAGAGAGAGAGAGAGAGACACGTGTATACTCGGGTCGGACGGTTGAAAGAGTAATAAAGATTTATTGGTAAAAAAAAAAAAAAAGGCGGAAAAGAAATATTATGGATAGAGGATCGAGAGATGGAATTATGAAAAATTCGAATAGTTCTTTGTCGCGCGGTTGGCTACGCGCCCGTTGCTGTCGCTACGGCGAGATGCGTCAGGATAACATTAATAATAATAATAATAACGATGACGTGGAAATGAGATACCTTAAGCCGCCCTTACAAGAGGAAACTGAAACTCTCTTGCACCGCATAGCCTTCACCGTATGGCACACTGCGTTACACATTGAGAGTGAGGTGGGTTCATCCTTTGAGATCGTTAAGATCGAAATATCCTATTGGCATTTTATGACCGATTTCCTTTTTTTTTCCTTTCGAGGTGAAAAATTTACTCGGACCGACAGAGATAGGCGTTATCGTTAATTTTTGGGTTAATCTTTTCTTCTTCTATTCTTATGTTACAGCACAACAGCTACGACTCTCAGTCGAAGAATTCCAATACGATGGCCAGAGGGAAGCAGGTGAGTCTGACGAATGTACCATTTTTTTTTCTTTTTTTTTTTAAATTTTATTTCTCGCGATGATTCTTCACGTGGTTATCGTTATGAATAAAAATCCGAACGATTCGGTTTAGATTTATAGGAGAGATCGCAGCCTCCGGGTGTTAGACCCTCGTATAGGCGAGTGACGGCTGGTATAACTTCATATCGTCTCAGATAAGAGGCTCGCAGTTTGTCTTCTTTCCCAACGTCGTCTCTAAATATTTAATATTGAAGTAATCGGACCGCGTCGACCAGCGCCGCGACGTTCGGAACGCTCCGTCGTCGTACAGCTACCACGGCGATTGCGTAAGCTGGGGCCTTCATTTATTCACTGAGAAAACATGTCGTCGTGGTTATTTACATTTGAAACGGCGACTGCGATACGTGGCGCGTATGTAGTGCGCGGGAAGCACGTTTCGCAAGCCAGAGCCTTTATGCAAAAATATTCGCTGCCTGTTCGGGTGAACCCGTCGGCCGGTTCCCAGGTCCGCCGACACCGACGATACCGATAGCCCGACCGTCGCGGCGTATTAGCGAATTTTAAAGCGAGGACTTTTGACATTTCGTACTCGGTCCAAGAGAACGTCCGGGAGATTGTTTCTTTTTTATTCTTCTTTTTTTCTCTTTTGACTTTCGTAAATTCCTTTTCCTTTTTTTTTTTTTTTTTTTTTTCTGTGCCGATCCTACAAAAGGAGGCGACATCGCTACGAGCGCGAACCGAAGGGAGCCGATCCGTTCGCTCGTGCGTCTTCGTCGAGAGGACGTTTTCGGTCGCAATTGGAATTAACCATCGGTAATTACGATTGTTAACGATAATTGGCATTGGGGTAGCGCCATTTGCCGCTGGTGCGAACGTGACGTCACTCCCCCGTTCCCTGACCCCCCTCGTCCGTTTACAAACAATTGCGCGATTAATTTCACAATGTATTCGCGTCCCGTGCGAATTCACGCGAATGCTCAATGTCACATTCGTAGAATTTATTTGCGACGCGCCACTCACGCGAATCCATGATGTGTCTGCCCTAATAAATTTCCATGGCTCGATGTGTTACGTGTATATATCTCTCGTATACCGCACGTACCCTAAAATCGGTAGAGACAAGGAGGCTCCTGACGAAATTAAAAATCCTCTCGACAATGGCAGCTGGCAAATTGAAAATTTAACGATATAGCATAACGGTCACGGTGCTTTTGCCGTGTCTAAAAATACGTTTATGGGGTCATGACGCGTCGGGTTCCATCGCGGCTGCAGCCAGCCCAGCCAGCCGTGCCTCTTACACTTGCACCCCTCGTGTTCGCGCGATCCTGCAGTCTCTCGTATAGGAGCGTTAAACAAAAATAATCATAACTCCACCTCACTTGTATAAGTTCGCGTATGAAATGACTATTGCGTCGCGTGCTCGTGGAGCAGCTGTCCTAGGTATTTTGCTTTCTTGCACTACGTGATCCCGAGACCCATAACCTTCGTGGCACTGATATACGAGTATACCTACATACATGTGTATATATATGTGTGTGTATATATATATATATATACACACACACACACACAGAGAAGGGGTTCCAGTCTTCTTCCTCCCCCGATTGGTTGTAAGACTAAGTCACGTATGTTCAACACTTTTTATAGTGGCAGTGAATAAAAAGAAATTAGAGTAATTTCATCCATAACGTATCGTATCTCCACGCATCGTCGCCGACGCTACGTTTCTTTTGCTCTTCACTCGTTTTTCACAATGAGCAGCGGTCCACTCGAGATTCTCTTCTTTATTGGGTTCAAGAGTGTGCCCTTGAATGATATACCGATGTACGAGCAACCCCTTCGTACTTTCCTTTTTCAAGTATCCGCCGAAGGGTATGTACCGGGTTAATTCACTGGCAACTACGTACCTGAAGTGCAGCACTCGTATGCGTGTCGTGTTCGATAGATCTGAAGTTAGCGGCGTTCTAAGTTACGTGACTTTACGTAAGCGCAGGTAGGGAATAAAAGCGGAAGGAAAATATGCATTAAACGGTGGCACAGCAAGGCTACCGGGCACTGGGATGCTCCCGTGTCCAAGAGACAATAGAAGGCCAGTGTCATTGTGGAGCGACGGACGAACGCAGGGCGAATGGGAACTTCTGGGCGAACGAGAGGCGGCGTCTTCTTGCGGTGACGGGATTAGATTTGGATTGTTTGGCGATTATTCGATGGGAGCGATAACGTCATGAAGGAGACTTTTGTGATAAGAATTTCGTATATGCCGAAAGTAGAGAGGGTGAAAATTTTTAATTTTAAATTTGATGTTAATTTCTTGTGAATTAATACCCGCGTGTACGTGTTTTCAGACCCAACCGATAAGCACCACGCCACCGCGGACGCCTGGCGTCGGTGCTGACGCTACCGGCACCGGAAGCGGTAAGGGCGGATGCGTCAGTGAAGTTATGGAATTGTGTTACGTGACGGAAAGGATCATTGCTCTCTGGTACCGGGAAGATGCTCAGGGTGTCCTGGAGCATGCGACGAACCTTCTTCGAGGGAAGCACGCTAATAATTACATGGTGAGTTCGTGACCCTTGGACTGTCATTACTTTCTAACTTCCTGGTCGTCAGGCGTATCTTGGCAGTTTTGTTTTCGAGTGTACTTGATCGTTCTGATGTTTGACTATTGGTGTCTTTTAGATCTTCAATCTGTCGTCTCCTGGGAGAACTTCTGAACCTAACACTAGGGAGGCAGGATGGCCCCAGGGTCTTGCACCGAGTCTGGAGAGACTCTGCGCCCTCTGCAAGGAATTGGACTCCTGGTTGAACGCTGCGCCCAATAGGGTGGTCGTCCTCCATGCTAGGTAGGTTAATTAATTTTTTATAAATAACATCTGTTTCGGGAAATCTTTAATATATGTATATACATTTTTCAATATTATTTTAGAGGCAGCAAAGAACGTCTCGGGGTCGCCGTGTCTGCCTACATGAACTACAGCAGCATCTGCGGAGGTCGTGATCAGGCTCTTGATAGATTCGCCATGAGAAGGTTCCTGGACGATAAAATCGGTCCGCTTCACGTTCCGTCCCATCGGAGGTAAAGCTTACTTGTGAACGGACCTTTATGAATGACTATGCATTTTTACTGATTTCTTCATACTAGTAATATTCATTAAAACCAATGTAAATCTTTATTACCAAACTCAATCTACGTAAGTAGATACTGCAATGATAGTCAGACACAAGATCAAAAGGCATTCGGGGCCTGATACAAGTATAGGTAGAATAAATTAAGGCCCTACTACTAAAATATCCACTTTCTGTTAACATCCGGTCGATCTCGTTTCCTTAAAAAGTTGTCGTCAATCATGCTCCCACGGTGAGCCTTATTAAGCGCGAAGCTGTTCGAATACAGGGGGGGCCCCGTTTAAAGGGCCTTATTCCCTCAGGCTGTCATCATCGCACAGAATACGCGTGCATCGACTGGCTACGATACTGATTACGAGACCCCATAAGCTTCTCGAGATGCACGACACGTAGCTGGCATCGGTCCGAACGAAGAATCAGTCTATACTCCATGGGACTCGGGGCCCATTTACTACGTCACGTTACGATACCTCCAAGCATTAGCATTTCATTAGCGTATAGTTATGCGCGTCCGCTCGTGAATTTATTACCAAGATGACACCTTAGAGCCGTGATGCATATTTTTATTTCAATGACCCTCGTGTCAGCCAATCACAATCGTGCATGCATTCGCGCATACACATACGTTCCACAACCATTATCGTTACTTCTTACGTACACGATAAGTGCCTCAGTAGTCTCTTATCAGGATCCTTAAGGATCATTATTTCAATAACGCCACGTGTCCAGCCAATGATAGTTCAGTTTTTGCACAAGGATCTATAGGTTTCATTGTCATTGTTGTTATTATTATTTACAGATACATCGAATACTTCAGTGGCCTCTTATCGGGTTCCCTGAGGATCAGCCCTTCTCCACTCTATCTCACGCATCTCACTGTACTGGGCGTTCCATTGTTCGAGCCTACAGGCTGTCGGGCCTTTCTTAAGGTTTACGAGGGACTCACGCCCGTCTACACCTCGGATCTATATTCCGTGACGAATGCACGCGAATTCACAGTCAATCTCGGCGGTTTGAGATTACGCGGTGACATTCTTGTCAAGTGTTATCATCGGGTCTACTCCAAGCAGAGTCGGGAGGTTATGTTTTCCCTGCAGGTGAGTCTCTTGAATTTTCAATCAGTAATTACGTACACTGTTACGCCCTGCTATTTGTAGATCACGATTGATTTCTTTTTTTCTATTTTTTACTTTATTCCTGTTCAGTTTCACACCTGCGTTATCACTGAGAACGTGGTATCGTTCCCGCGATCTGAATTGGACGTCGCCTGCGACGATCCACGGTGTCCGACTGACAGCGTTGTCACCTTGTACTTTGCTACCGACGCCAGGCGTCAGGACGGTCCGGTACCAGCGCCTACGCCAGCAGTGCCTCATGCCTCTGCCCATCACGATCCCATACTCCATTGGGATAGTTACACGAATCTCGAGATAAGCGACGATGGTGAGTAATATTCATATAGCAATATGTGTATACGTATTATATATTTAATCAAGTCCGGTTATTATGAAATTCCTTAGTGAACACGTAAAGAAACGAGCCATAAAGTCAGTATTAAATTATGGGTTTATCCGTATAGCGTAAATGTACACAGTAAACTGATAAGATTTTTCCAATCGATTTAATGGACGATATACAAGGTAACCTTCTGGCTATCGATAATTGGCAGAAGGGGGTGGGTCGGGTGAGTGCCCGGAGGGGG